GTTTCAGTAAGACCACCAGTATCACATGAACCCTGCTGTTCATCCAAGTGATGACAGTAAATGCCAACATTGGATATCTCTACTGTCTTGTTTACTTCATCTTGTCTTGACATGACCATCAAAGACCTAAAGCACAGAAAAAAAAATGTGAACTTTAACATACGCACACAACACAAGCACATATCTGCAACCAACCGTTTGGCTACCAAATTATCTGCAAGCCTAGCAAACCGTATCTCTACACCGCAACATTGGCATACAAATTGTCCATATTCCATAGCCATTAAAAATGTTTGTCCAAAAAGGTGCAAGAAATTGTTTAACAGCAAAAGGCTAAAAATTCCTTATGGTTTCATGATACATCATAATTCACACAACAAGAGAGAGTTCCAAAAGCTATATCCACAACCGACAAGGGAAGTTCTTGAGGCATTTGGAAATAAAATTTGTTGTAGAAGTATGGGTTCCTTCAGGAGCCAAGCTAATCTTGTAGTGCAGTTTCTGAAACAAGTTTCCATATTAGGTTGGTTATCTCTAAGACCCCACTTGTAGTTGACGCTTCTAAGAACTTCAATGGCTGGCAAGCATTTCCTTTAGTGTTTAGCAATTGCATCAGTTTTAACTTTTTTTCCTGATAAAAAAATCCTCTAATCTCCAGTAGCAAAATAATGAAGAACTAGTGTAAACTTTTCTTAATCAAAATATCCTTATCTTCAGCGGCAAAATAATGAAGATAAGAATAAATTGTATATAAATAATCCATTGAACTGAACCGGAACTGGAAGCTTTGGCTCTCAATATGTTGTTCCTTTTCCCTCTTGTTTCCTCATTTTTTGGCAGCTTGGCAAGAACAAAGAATTAAAAAAAATGGCTAACTCACATGGCAAAACTTTGTTTCTTCGGATCCGTTTGTATCGAGAGACTGGAGAATTCCAAACCAAACATGAAATTTCCCTGTTGACGTATCAGAAAGAAAATAAGTAGAGTTGAGAATAACTGACAGAACAACTGGGGAAAAAAAGAAACATATGTGTGAAACTAGAAAATAAATGAGCTTGCTGAAAGGGTGCATCACTATTGCCACATCTTCTGCACAAACCATTAATGTTTTGGACTGAAAATGTAATTTAGGAAGCTACCATGGTAGAATTTCCGAACAGGACTATTCCAAGATAGTCTCCTTGTTGTAAACAAAACTGATAAAGTGAAGATATTATAACTTCCAAGCTAAAGACAAAGTGCAAAAATTATGACTATGGAAGTAGCAGATTAAATGAAATCTCGTGCAAACCTATCTTTGGATTCTATCATTCAAACATTGAATGTAGACTACTAGATGGTATTTGAATTTGATTTTTTTTTTAGCAAAACAATCACACTAAACACACAAAATTATTTGGTTGGACTAGATTTATGGAAACTTGGAGGTACATGGATGACCATTTGGAAGTTCACCCTTCATACGGCAACAATATCAGCCTTTAACCCCAAGCAATTTGGGGAAGGCTAAAAGTGCACCTTTCATATGGTTTGAGAATGATGTAAGAGGCATTCCACCAACTTAAATCTAACAAATACAAATTAAATACAATGGTCTCAAGTGACAGCATCCAAAGATTTGTGTTTGCAGTTGCACTAGATATATCCCAGCGATCACTAACTTTGAATACTTCATAGCTTTTCTTTTTCATCTGGCAAAAAAATAAATGAAGGCCCTAGATATGGATCTAATTTGAGTAGGAAAAGTAATAACTGCTGGGAAAAAACTTCTGGTGCTCAGTAACAATGTGCATACAAAATCCTATAATTGTAGGGAAAACATAAACAGTATCCATGTTACAAACAAACACAAACTTGAACCTCAGGCGAAACAGAACTGTACACCCAATCTGCATAGAATATGATGTAAACAGATATACCTGATCTTTGTAGTTATCAGCATAGGTGATATGAACATTTCGTATAGAAACTTGGATGTTGTCCAGTATCTGACAAGAGTAAAAATGAACAGTAATTAATGTTCTAGCACTATCTCCAAGTTTAGAGTCGCTTGAAAATAAACTGCAAGCTTGTTACCTTTGCTAATATGTAGGATAAAAGTGATTGCCCCGTTTGGTTATCTAGAAATAAAAACAAATGAAGTTGTCAGAGGTGGTTGTTAGTTTCTCCAAAAGGACATGAGAATCCCATACAGTTCCATTGACAATATGATAAAACTAGGTAAAGAAACATGTTACATACATATTACAAGTTAATGTAGCAGAGTGGTATATTCAAGAGAGGACAAAATGCATGCCATTGGAAATAATGAAAACAACAGTAATCCCGAAATGACCACTAACAACATGTTGTTGAAGTTAATAAGCTTGATAACAGTGGTTTAAATATGAGAGACTAAAGCATCGTAATTTTCTTAAAAAAACAAAATGCACGAAGAACACGGAATCAGGACCTGTAATTCTTCTGGAAATCTTAGCAAGCTCAATAGCTTTAAGTTTAGCCAATTTTCCATCTAACTCTCTCTTATCCAGAGAATCTGAACTCCACTGGAAAAGAAACAGCCATTACTGGGTCAACATGTCATATCATTACAAGTAAATTGAACAAAGTATGACAAGATTCAATAACATGCCTCAGAGTCCTCCCGTGGACATGCACAGATAAACACGTCTTCTATGGCAATAATTATGGCACCCCACCCAAGTGTTTTCCATGGAATCCTGACGCTTAGTTTGCCAATCCGTCCTGTCAGGTAGTAGAACAGAAAAATTAGAATTCACAACTACACAGGGCACAACAATCTAGCAAAAAGTAAAGGCGATGGAATCCATAAAAACAGCCCAGGATCGATACCTTTCTTCAATGCGAATGGCAACTGCAGGTAGTCGAAGGCTTCCAGAATCAGCTCTACATCTACCAATATTATTTCCTCTGTTGAACATGGAGACAACTAGACTCTTAGCCACCATGCCAGAGACAGCACAATAATTTTTTTAAAAAAAGGACGTACATATGTGATCATCAATTCTAGGAAAATTAGTTAGCCATCAGTGAAAGAAAAAAACAAAATCAGCATCCATCACAGTCACAAAGCATAAAGGGACACAGCGCGCACAGGGAGAAAAAAAAATCACAGAGCGATCAAACTGGGTCCTAATTGCACATTCACATTTATTACATTGCAATCGCCACACAGAACAGTTTCGGCACTAAACGCAGCCAGCCATAGAATCCGAAAACCACATCGCCGTCGCGGCACCGGCGGCGTGATTGGGGCGAAGTGCGATGGAACGGGGGAGGGGGGAGCGCAGAGGTCCTCGTCGGCGCGTGGAGCGCGGAGGGGAAGGGAAGGGATCGATCGAGGACTTACGATTCCAGATGTTAATGGTGAGCTGGTCCTTCTGGAAGCTGACGTAGCGGCCGAGGAGGGCCGGGAGCACCTTGCTCACCAAATCCTCGAACATGGCGGCGGCGGCGGCGGCGGAGGAGGAGGACCCTAGAGAGGCCGCGCTCCCATGGGTTTGGAGGGAGGGGGGGGGCAGGCGGAGTTGGGTTTGGGAGTTTGCTTGGAGGAGGAGGAGGAGGAGGCGGCGGCGGTGGAAGGAGAGGGGCGATTCGTGTGGGAGCTCCCTCCCTGTACGTATCTGCGCCGTATCTGTACTCTCTCTTTATCTGGAACGACCGTATTTGTATTTGTATTGTACTCGCTTGAGACATTTTGACTTTAGAACCCTCGAAGATTTAGGCTGTGTTTGGCATTAGAGCAAGTATAGTAGTAGGCTATAAGCTGGCTAAATTTTGGGTGGAGAAGAGAAGAGAGGAGAAGCGAGCTGTAAACTTATAGTCGGTTTGGACACGAGAACCCAAAAAAAACTCTGTGAGAAAAACAAGTAGGCTCTGTATTAATCGTAAAGAACTCACTATTATATGGGTAGGCTGAGAGAAGGCTACAAACAACCTTATAGCCAACAGGTCGGCTGTATTATTAGCCTTGCTCTAAGACAGGTGTTACCTACCGGAAAACACGGAAAACGGAACGGTCCATTAACGCATGATTAATTAAGTATTATCTATTTTTTTCAAAAATGGATTAATTTGAATTTTTTTAAGCAACTTTCGTATATAAACTTTTTTTAAAAAAAACACATCGTTTAGCGGTTTGAAAAGAGTGCGCGCGGAAAACGAGAAAGAGGGGTTACGAAAAAAGGGGTGCTGAACACAGTCTTAGTCGAACTCTTAAAACTTAGGCTGTTTTTATATAATATTCCGTCCATTTCATATTATAATTATAAGTTATTTAACTTTTTGTGTTAGTTAAAGTTCTTTAAATTTGACCAAAATTATAGAAAAAATTAGCAACATTTATAATATCAAATTAGTTTCATTAAATTTAACATTAATATATTTTGATAATATGTTTGTTTTGTATTAAAAATCTTAGTATATTTTTCTACAAATTTAGCCAATTTAAAGAAAGTTTGACTAAAAAAAGTCAAACGATTTATAATATGAAACGGAGAGAGTAAATATTTAAGTTCGTAAAATCTAGTAATAAGTTATGATATTATGATTGTTATTTGAAGCTTCTAATAATTCAATTTGTGATTCGTGAGAATACATCCACAGATAGTGATATTACTGTTGCAGTGCTAGGAATCCGAAATTTATCTGATAAAGGAGTCTAATTTCATGTAGGATCAAAACTTAAGCTTTGGTGATTACTTACCAACTACCCAGCTTAATACTCCCTCCGTCCCTAAATATTTAACGTTGTTGACTTTTTAAAACATATTTGACCGTTCGTATTATTCAAAAAATTTAACTAATTATTAATTATTTTCCTATCATTTAATTCATTGTTAAATATACTACTACTACTCAAGTTTTATAATAATATTCACAAAAAGTTTTTGAATAAGTTGAACGGTCAAACAAGTTAAAAAAAAGTCAACGGCGTCAAATATTTAGAAAGCCAATGCAGTAACTATAACCCGGCATGGTTAGGAAAGCCAAGAAACTAGTGTAGTACTATGAGATAGCATAATACATGAAACGAATAACGACAGGAGTGCCGCGTCAATGCATCATCCCAATGTTTACAAGTCTGAAGGTCAGGAGTACAAAACAATATACAAACCATGCTACTTTCTCTCAGAACAATTAGCTGCTTTGCCATGAAGTAAACAATCAGCATAATCATGTAATCTCGCAAACATCAGGCCTTAGCCTCCTCCCTTGCCTACAAAATTTGTACAGCTAAGGATATGTTTTAAGTCTTGGACATCTCGCTGCTAAAGCAATTATTCACTCAGCCAAGCTGGCAGCATCTTTCAAGCGCTCCCGTAGTATGTCACAGAGCTTACTACAAGCATCCATGCAGAGCTCTACCGCCTATTGATGGAAGGAAGCAAAATGTTAGTAATTCATACTGTTTTAGTATCATATGTTGATGTAACAGGAAAGACACACACATTGGTGATTTTGCCATCAGACCACTCTCCAGTAAGTGTTAGCTGAGTGATCTCCTTGCGGGCTGGCATGTACGCCACCATAATGCTGCCGTCTTGCCATGCTTCCTCGTCAGAGGTTGGATCGATGATAATGTTCTTCCCGAAACAGGACTGACAAAGAAGCAAAGAGTGGATTGTCTTCAAATTCAAATGTCGAGTTTTTAAGTGTACGCACTGTAAAGCGGAGAGAATGTGTGGCCATACCACAGATACCGATGTAACAAGGTCATATATCATGATTCCGGCATCAGCCAACGCAAGACTAGCACAAGAAATAATGATGGGAAGATCACCTGAAATCAAAGTATTTCCAGTATGAATGGAAGTAGTTCAATTCTTTTCTGTAAAGAAATAAAGTTTCTTGGAAATAACTCATGATGATATGAAGGCTTCTTTCAAAAAATATGGAAGACGTTCTTGTGCCATCATATTATACTAGTTCACAAAGTTTAAGTTCAGGTCATAATTCTTCCTAAAATAAGTAACTACAGTGTACTACACTAAAACAGCACAAGCATATCAAATGCAGCAATATCATAATCAAATTCAAGGATAGTATCTTACTGCCACCAGACTCAAGAACCAACGCAAAGACATCAACAGTGGTTTTTGGAAAAGTGTGTAGCATCACTGCGCCTTCCAGGGCTTTATGGAGCATTGCGGAGTACTCCTTGTTGTCCATTCCCTGGAATGAAGATGCAGACTTTCAACATTTATTTCGAAGCATAAATGGTCCAGTAAGAAATTTGTTCAAAGAGACAACGGAGAGCTAGTAAAACAGCAGACCTGTCCACGTATAGGGGTGGCAAATGTTGTGTAGCTCACATTGCAATTGAGTCTACCGGTATCACTGTACAACATTGCTTTCTTGCTTTCTCTTGGTCCAAACCTGAGAAATTGCTCATCAAATAAACATGACCAAGCAAGCAGAGTAATAAGACAAATTCAACAGGAATAAACAATATGAAGAGTTTGACTGACAAGATATGTGAAACTTATGTAACATGAAGCTAGGAAATACATATTAAAGGTCAGCCTCAATGCCTTCAAACTATCGTTGTCATTCTTATTTGGGGTCCCTTGAGAAAGGGCTAACCATAGAGCTGAAACCCTCAAAAGTCATAAGAGCACGAGTTTATAAAATACTGATAAATGTTAGCACGCTCAACTGATAGATGCATAGAACATATTGATACATGAATCCAAGCGAGTATGAAATGTTCTCAAGCATTTAGTAACTTTTAAGTGTATTTCAAGTTCACAGAAAGAAGCTGTGAAGTGTAAACATATTTCAGTTGACCTTAACTTTCTAGCATTTGGTTCCACAAATGCCAAAATCTTTTCAAAATTCGAATTTAGAATGATAGTTGGAGGATAGATTTGGAATATCATAATGGAAACTATTATGTTTTAGTAGGAAGTTGAATTTATAAGAGACAGCTTTCACATTGGGATCTAATGAAAGACATGTTCTTTAACACTTGGAATCTAAACTAAACCACAAATATACATACATGTGGTACATGATTGTATAAAAGTGCAATTATACTTACACTGACACAATGACCTTTGTCTTCCCAAATTCTGCATAAGCAGATCCTGATGCGGCAGTTGTTGGTCCTGTTTGCATAACTGCAAGCCAAATCAAATTTATTGTTGACTCTGATTGACAACTGAATCAAATTATATTATCGACTCTGATTGACAACTGAGAGTCCCACTAGCTTCAAGTCAAATTCCAGCGATGGTAGAACACTTTGTGGAACCATTCAAGTCAAAATTGAGAAAGAAATAGCGATAGTGAAACACAGTTTCAGAAAATTTATCAAAGAAGATTCTGCAATCATGTAACATAGACCATAATTCTCATACATGAAAACAAAATTTTGCTCTTTCTTCAAGGTTGGTAGTATCATAGATGCATGTTGTAAAATCCTATCTAAATTCAAGAGTTTTTTCCTAAGCTTGCCTATACTGGTCCAGATGCTGCACTGCCCTATTGCAATCAGACACACATGACATGTAACATGCAGCAGCATTTGCTTTTATGTAATTAACAGCAAACATGCTCGAAAATAATAGATGGGTATGTGTCGAGGAGTGATCCTCTCTAGCGGGAGATCGTGAGACCCCCCTTTCGTGAGTTCGGCCGGGGGAAGAAGCTCGCCTCTAGAAATCGCGTATCCGTCCCCAAGGCTCCTAGCTAGCTCGCACACAACCAAATTATATAGGTTCGGGCCGCTATGAAGCGTAATACCCTACTCCTGTGTATGGGATTTAGACTGAGAGTTACAAGGGTTCCTAAACTCGGGAGAACACTCTTACTTCCCTCCTCCACAAGCTCAGGTTTTCTGAGAGTCGTCCCCTCTCTCGGTGGGCAAGGTCCTCCTTTTATACCTCAAGGGGATACCACATGCACCGCCTCTACCTACTCTTCTTTCGGGTGGGGACCCACCCTATCTTGACTGGAACTCGACCCGTGCCTTCGCCTAGAAGGTAAACCACAGCTTGTCCTTGAGCGGGGCCCAGCGCCGTCCCTCGCCTGACACGGGGGACAGCCCTGTCATTCCCTCATTAATAGGTGAAGACTTGTGGTGGCCGCCGTCCGAATGACCCCCCGATGGGACGGGTCATACCTACCTCCACTCCGCCGGAAGCAGATGCGACGTGGGAGCACGGTTGTCCGTCCAGTCAGACGTGACCGGCGTCAGACCGGTCATTCTTGACCATCGCGCGTCAGTTTAGCACGCCGCACGTATGCCCCACTGCATTAAATGCGACAGGGGACAGTTGGGGCGCTGCGCGCATTAAAGGAAGTTCAGCCTGGGCCCCCTCCTTGCTTGCTCCCCCCGCCACACGGCGGCTGGGCAAGAGCCTCGGGGCAAAGCAGTGCAAGGGCCCGAGGGGCATGACGTGGCACCCCGAGGCCCCGACCCCCCGGCCGCTCCTGCGGTTCGCGGAATGCGGGGACAGGACCAGGCTGTAGGGACACGTGTCAGGATGGGAAGGTAGATTCCCCTCACTTCGCATACCCCCGGGCCCATATCTCTGACAGTATGCCTTGAGCAACAAACACCTTAGAACACTCGGGAGAAATTGCGTCAAGCGCATGCTTTTGTTAATTGAAAAGCACACACTAAATGAAAGTTCAGAAAGGAAACTTCAACTTGTGAACTCTGGAACATGAGCAACGTGCACTTAAGCTTAGAGAGGTATAACGGTTTGATTTTTCACTCAAAACTATTTTGGTCACATTCTATTTGTAAATCTACACTTGTAGATACTGTGGCATGAAGAATACCTAGACTGCTGTTTGTGAAGTGCTCCAGCTCAGAAAACCAACAAAAAGTATTCCTCAATCCCCTGCTCAGATAGAGAGCGCCAATGTAGTTCTATTTTCCTTCGATTTAGTCAACAATGCCTAAGACATACTAGTATATTCACGTTGGACGATGTCTTAAAGAGTAAAAGAAAGCATTTGACAGTGGGAATATTTCGCCCAGACCACCATCAGCAGCATCCTGGCTCTGCCACTGAGGACATGGAACTGCCGTTGTCAGTACTACTCACGCATAACGTCGAACACCTCAAGCACAGACCAGGCGATGGCAGAAAAATGTTGCTTAACCGGGACCCTTCAGCACGAATGGGTGGGCGCGTTCGATGAAGGTCGTCACTAAATCAGACATTCAGGGCAGAGCAGAAAGAGAAATGGGAGCAGGTTGAGAAGGTGGACGAGGCATTTACATGCGGGACGGCAGTCGTGGAAGGAGCGGCCGTCGGCGCGGGGCCAGTCGGCGTCCTCGGCGAGGTGGCGCCGCAGCTCCTCCTTCCTCTCCCTCCGCTTTTCCCCCGCGGCCGCCGCCGGAGAGTACGTCCCATCAGTAGCCGCCGCCGCCGCCGACATCGCCGGAAACTGCGTGTATTGCCTAGTAGCGCAGCTCGCTCGGTTTTTTGGCTTCAGCGACGGCTCGAGAGAGACGATGGCTGTGTGAGCTCGCGCCTGGGCCGAGAGAGACTAGCTAGGTTAATTGGAATGGGCTGGACCTGGGCCGAGTAGGATATCGCCTTGGGCTTGCTTGGTTTTTTAACCATTTGTGACCTTACCATTTTTATTTTGGCAATTGGCAAGAATTGGGTAGGGTTTTTTTTTTTTTTGGTTTTATTGCCAAAGTTGTACTAAAGTACTGTTTATGTATTGTAGTACTAAGCAAAATAATTTGGCAGTACCAATTTCTTTGGCTACAAACCAAATAGATGCCAGGTTAGGTTTGGCCACAAACCAAATTAGCCATAAATATCGATTACTCCTTTGGACCGCATGATTTCATATATATCAGTTCAATTCCAGTGAAAATCTTCTAAATACTTGTTTTAGCTCCTATGAAAATCCTATAAAGTTCCTGTGTTTCAAATGATGCCTTGGATTGTATACATGAATATCAGGCATTTGGACATATTTTTACATTTATCTTTTTTTTTCTTTTCCTCCCATTTTAAGTTTCAACCAATGCATTGCAAACTAGCCAGGAAAAGATGCCAACCACAGGGCGCACCTGAAAAAACTAACCACTGCATTGCATAACAATTTCGTTCTCCCGAGCAATTTACATGTTGGGTTCAGAGAAAACAATACTATGAGGATGCCTGAACTACCACCCATTGGTTGTCAAAACTGTGCCTGCAAATCGGCCACATGACCTTCCCAGCATCGCCGGTGCACCTCCTCCATCCTCTCCACCGGATTGCAGATGCCGGTGCAGTTCCAGTCGAATGACGCTGCGCACGGGTTCCCAGCCTGCGCCTTCCATTCGCAGTCTGCAAGACCAAACATGCCACATGAATGTATCTGAAGGGTCAACTGGAGGGCTTTGAAACATATGACAGGTAAGTAGATGCTGGATGCTTATGATGGCTGAGATGATCTTAGGTGCATCTCAAAAGCATTGCCACTCTTATCAGAGCTGACTGTAATGATTGGTGGGGCATATCGATGGCATATGTTCCAAAGATAGACGAACTGCGCAAATAGTAACAATTTCAAACTTTGGATGATGAGACGATACAACAATGTGTCCATGCCTTCTGAAGCGCAAATTGCAAAGAGAATAACTGCAGCAGAAATTAGCTCTACATTCACTGTGAGGACATCTGTAAACAATTGGCATCGGCATCATATTATTGTGAGGTCATTCAGTTAAGAGTAACCAACTACTGCTAAGTGCCAGACAGCCAGCAGCATTCTGATGAATAAAAAATAGATGCTTTCAAATATTTGTTCAAAATGTCAACAAGCTGGTTTGAGTATAATGCCCAACTATCATTTCAGAACAGCAGGGATCAGAAAGGTGGTAAAAAGGCTAAAAAGAGTCTCGCGTCTTAATTATTGAAGATAGGTGCTAACCGCCATGGTAGTTGTTAAGACATGCATGTCATCTTTTTCTTGGTAGAAAAAATGAAAAAGAAAAGCTTTGATCAACTACTTAATATGATTACATGCAACGTCCAGGTTGAGTGAAATCATGTCATTGTTGAGCATACAAAAGATAAAGAGATGCAATAGGAGAATATGCTGAGGTAACATGGAAATCGATACTAAAGTAAGACAACTACCTGGGGGAGTGCCACAGCAAAGGCTTCTCTCATCCACATGCTCAACATCCAATCCAATCAACCAAGAACCAAATGACACGTCTTCGTTTGAATATTTGTGCAAGATATGCCTGAAAGTAAAATCAAACAAATATGAAATGGAGAAGTAACATAATCCAATCTTGCATATCCAAATTAGAACTCACCGATTTGCTGATATGTAGGTTGCTAAATCTCTGGTTACAGCATACAATTGTCGTGTTGCATGCCTAAAGTAGTTGTTACCCTCAGTCCCAAATTTCCAATGATCTGGTTCATAATACTTAGATTCACTGTTGACATCAGGCAAGCGCTTCATTAGACATTTTGAGAAATAAACATTGTTAACATAAGCATATATAGTAAGATGTATCCTTATATTAGGAGAATGTGAAGTTGTGAACTTGTGTTATTGATTATCTATCAGTTGAATTATATTTGTCAAATACATAAAACGAGATGAGTGTAGCTTCTATTGGAACACTATAAAGGCTAGCTTTTGCAACATTAGAAAGTAGCAAGACTAAGTTCCCATTTGAATGGATGATACTCCCTCACACAATCAGGCAGTAATATCATATGTTTGCATTCTATTTTGATCGAAGTTCTCATTTAGCACATTTACCAATCTGTTTAATTAACTGAAAAAAAAATTGCAAGGTTTCTGGAGTGTTACTTTTTATCAACAACAGGTCCAGATTTCATGCAGCCAATGTACACCCGAGGTTTTGATCTGTGCCGTGCCAAAATCGACCTGGTAATACCTGTGATGAAAGAGGGACAACCTTACTATATGCTATCATTGATACATCAGAATATCTTCAAAACAAAACCACAACAGCCAAACTTTAAAGAATGGTCCTGGGTTGGCATACCTATGTTGACATGAACATCGTCATCAACTTTCACATAGAAATCAGCATCCCAAATGGAAAGAGCGGTTGACAGAAACATCTGAATCTTCAAAGGAAGACTGCCATTTCGTTCAACATGATCCTGGTAAGGATGACCGCTGTGTCAAAACTTCAATATTATCAATAGATTGCTCAAAAACAGGAAAATTGAAACTAGAAGAGCCAGCATACAAGTCTCAAAATATCATTGTATTCTTTATCTTCTGCAGCAATGGCACGCTCCACTTCACTGTCAGGACTTGGATTTGCACTACAAGAAGCAAGGCCCAAATTCAGCGGTACAGTAAGTGAAAACACCGACTATTTTCCCTTTTTTATCGGGGACATTATGTCATTATATTAACAAGAAGAGGAACAAGACCATAATGTTTGATACAACACTCATTATTTTTCCCCAGGCCTAAACTAGACAATACCTGCGCCCGATAACAAAACGGATAACAACGCCCTTCTCCTTCTCCAGCCTTTGCAAATGCTCGCCTGGACAGTGTCAAATTAGGTAGGTATGGAGCAAAACCTCTGTGATGCATTACACAGAAAAGGGTTATACAAATATACAATACCTTGTGGCAGCCATGTCTGCCGGATGGAGTCTCTCCGCTTGCGATTAGCAAACGTGGTCACAATGCCCATGACAAAAAACAATCTAGCCCTGGTGCTTCCCTGGTCACTACCCGAATCACTCGGAGATAAGCCCTGGCTCCTAGCTTGCATGGTTCTAGCAGCAGCCAGGCGCATCTCGATTTCAGATATTGTTCTATCCAAAGCTCTGCAGCGCAAGTAGTATAAGCAAACCTAAACATCAATCTAAACTAATTCTGACTGCATAAGCTTCAGACATTACATACATGATGACTTCCCGAGTTTGTGACACTTGGTTCATTACAGCCCCCGGATTATCCGAATTCACCTGGCAAAATCCGACCAGACGACATTGTACCGCATCCACATTAACACAGCAATTAAGAGAAAAATAATGGATACAACATGATAAATTACCTTGGTTCGGCAATCGGGAAGCTCAGGAACCGCCCAATATCTGCAAAACCAACCAGACGAGCAAAAAATCACCATTCCCAGCCTCAAAACCGACGAGCATTGTCTCGATTCGTGTGGCGAGGAGAAGAGATTGCCTAGACAGCACCGAAGCGGGTGCGGGAGCATGGAGCAAGAGGAGAGCAGCGGATTTGGGGAGCGGACAGCGAACCAACCTATTGACGACGCAGACGCCGAGGAAGAAGCAGGCGGTGCAGAGCGCGGCCACCAGCCGCGTGGGCACCCGCGCCAGCGGCGCCTGCTTGTGCGGCCTCGCCGCGGCCGCCGGCGCGAACATCGCCGGCCGCCGCCTCCTCCTCCTCCTCTCGGATTCGTCGTTCGAATGAGTGCGAGATAGCTATCTCTCTCTGTGCCTTGGCTTGCTTGCTGCAACGCACTGGCTGCCTGGCTCTCTCACTGCTCCGTGGACTCGGTCCATATAGCCCACCACCTGCTGCTTCATTTTTTTTCTTTTTTGCCCGTTTTGCAAAGTACAATTCCATTGTCCTATCTGAAATGATTTCACCGGTTTTTCTCCATGGTTTTCGCATTCGGGAATAACATGTGGCTCGATTTTTCAGATAAAGTATTCAATGCTATGGTTATTGCTTTTCTAGTACTACAAGTATTAGATAATATAGGCGCACGTATGGTCATGCCGCTAATCATAAGTCCGTTAAGAAACATATAAAACGAATCAAATGCTTAAATATATGAACTTCAGTGACCTTTTCAATATGTTTTTTTAAAGACACATGCTTATTATGATATTAATATTAATCGTGTTCTTAGTATTTAAAAAAAGACATTCGGAACCGTGACAATTGGAACATAACAGTATCTACAGCGTGAATATAAAATCAATTTTACGGCAAAAGAACCGAGCCATGCACGTTGTAGTTGTCGAAACGTAGTTGTCAGAGAGCAAATTGAACCCCAAATTGGAGTCCAACAAAGGGTGTAGAAAAATTATTTAGATGTGCGTGAATGCATAGAAGGTAGACTAGTGATTGATTGATTCTTTTCTGCGAGTCCCACAAAATGATTTTAATGCTACTACTATTAAACTAAAATTTTGTTTAGCTCTTCGATTAGATTGGTCGAATAAAACACTACAAATGCCCTAAATTGAGCTTAGGTTATAAGATGGCGTATTTAAACGAACTTAAGTAGTACAAAATTTGATTTAAACTCAATAAATTCAAGATATCACCTTTGCCACCGAGTTGAGAATCACACATGTTGCTACTGCTATCAATTTTGTCACACAAACATTACTTCTGTACAACGTACTCCTACAAACAAGTGACGATTCGTCGTAGCGTCGTAGTTGTACTGTTTGGCATTGGCAGCATATTTAGTTTGCTTTTTCCAGCATTATTCATCCTTACAAGAAAAGAAACCAAAAAAACCACATCAGTTCAGTACTAGTCCGTACTATATTTTCCTGGTAGTAGGAAAGAGAGGTAGCTGGTGGTGGACCAGGTCCACCAACAATTTCACAGTACAGGCCGTCCCAACAGACAGCGGCATTTATCATCCTCAACGCCTGGTACGCCTAGCACAAAGCGCGCACGTCCTCCGGTGCTCCTCCCTGGACCCGGCGCAGCAACGCCGCAGAGGGCACCGACCACCTCCTCGGTCCACGGGTCCAGGGCCGCGGCGGTGGTGGTGGACCGGTTCGCCGTAGCACGGAGCCACGCGGTCCACCGCTCTTCTTCCCCTGTAGTGAGTGTAGCGTAGCCTTTTTGGACAGAAATTTCTGGGCCCACTGTCATTGATGTCTGTCTGCTAGTGCTGCCTCTCATCAAAGGCTAGCTGGTCTAATAGTAACACCTAAACTGGTTTTTCTAGCTTCTACTCATTTTTTATTAAAATAACTAAGCTTAGTCTCGCTATACTTTATAATAAACAAAATAACAAATTAAGCTTTCATAAAATTAGACAAAAAAAATATAGTATATGACATATAGGTCAGATGGCTATAGGTTACGCAAAGTAGAATTATAGCATATGAATCAAAACATTGTCTATTAAAACTATGACTTGTCTAAGGTTAGTACTTAGTATAGCAAATTTAGTTGCCAACCAAATAGGTCCTAAGTTTATTTTGTGGCATTCGTGTGGTTTCTCCGCATGCACGTTTCCCGAATTGTTAAACAATATGTTTTTCAAAAAAAAAAGAAAAATATTTTTTTAAAAAAACATATTAATCTATTTTTAAATTTAAAATAATTAGTACTTAATTAATCATGAGCTAATGGCACATCTCGTTTTTTATATCTTCTCACTCTGATACGCAAAAACGAGGTGAGCTATTAGGCGCCGTAGCCCCAAATGTGAACTGCAATCTTGATTGTTTAGGAAGTTAAAATTGTAAGAAGGTGGAGTAGTCAGAAGCTCCTAAACAGGGCTTTAAGTCCTTTCTTCTTCTTTTTTTCAACAATCTATGATTATTTGTGTTTTAAGGCTATGTGATTAGTAATCTATTCATTTCATACCATATAAAACATTTTGGGTTTTAAATAAATTCATTCATAGATCAATGCATATGCTTCATATATATGTATCTAGATAAATAATGAAGATATCAAAACGTTTTATAATGTGAAACAAAGGGAGTAGCATGTTTATTTTAGCTAAAATAAAGGTTACTTTTCTTGTGTAAGCACAAACGATGGTTGGTGTGCACATTAGTGGTCATCATTTCTTGTTTAGCAGTTTGATTATTTCTGTGCTGAGCTTATGCGTTGCATTGCACATTTGCACATGGAGCATGTGATGGCGTGAAGTACTAGCATGATTGGGGGTAATCATCGGCAAACCATTGTTCAATTTAAAGAACGAGCCAACTAAGTAGGTTGAAAGTAATGAAATACTAAACATTTCAACTGCTCGGAATGTGGTTAACAGTACAACTGTACAAGGTGTAATAATGCCAAAAGTTACTCATTAAAATCAATATCTGGTTTGCTCCATCCTGGACCACCTATATATTTATCAATAAATTTTCTTCAAAAGTTGATAGATACAAATATATTATAATCATAGTGTAATTATATTTGTAACTTGCATGTAACTGCTATATAATTTATATGCAATTTTCACAAAATTTATTGGTAACATGTTATTTTTATGAAACAAAAGTCATGGAACTGAATCCCCTCACGTGCTCTTTGCTCCAAGCTTTTTGGGCTCATTTTCCCACATATCAAAATGGGCCTTTTTAGGAAGTCTAATGGGCCTTGAAAGCACCTCCAGTGTACTAAAACCTCTAGACTCCATCGATCGGCCACGGAATAAGTTCACTTGACGTCCCTCAATGGTAATAACATTTAATAAATGTGTATCCCTTAACTATATAAAACCGGAAAAAAAAAATCCTGAGAAAGTATAGATGTTTCGCTAACATGTCCTCCTAGTCGCAAAACATAAAGAAAAAAAGTGGTGTTAACAATCCTAGGCCTTGTTTAGTTCCTAAAACAAAAACTTTTCATTCATCACATCGAATGTTTTGACACAAGCATGCAGTATTAAATGTGGATGAAAAAACCAATTACACAGTTTATGTATAAATTATGAGACAAATCTTTTAAGCATAATTGCGCCATGATTTGACAATATGGTGGTACAATAAACATTTACTAATAACGGATTAATTAGTCTTAATAAATTCGTCTCGATAAATTCGTCTCGCAGCTTCCTGCGCGAAATATGTAATTTATTTAGTTATTAGACTATGCTTAATACTTCAAATATGTATTCGTATATTCGATGTGACAACTAAACCCAAAAGTTTTCCCTAACTAACGCTGTGTTTAGTTCCGAAATATTTCTTCAAACTTCTAACTTTTCCATCATATCTAAACTTTTCTACACACATAAACTTTCAACTTTTTCATCACATCGTTCCAATTTCAACCAAACCTTCAATTTTGGCGTGGAATAAACACAGCCAACAAGCCCCTGGTTAGTAATCTTCTTCTCTCGTTTTTCCCTTTGCCGCAGAGCGAGAGCGGCAGCGGGCAGCGGCGCGCGGCCGGAGGCAGGCGGAGCGGCGGCGTCGGCAGGTTGCGCCGCGAGCGCGGCGGCCACTTCCCCATTCCTTCCCGTTTCGCCGACGAGACGCTCACCGGCGCACACTCGCCGCCTCCCGCCGCCGCTCATCGGTCCGGTACTCCTCAGTCGTCGGAAAGTAAGTATAATGGCGGCTGCATTTCGCTTCCCCCTAGCTGTTTCCATCCTGAATTCCTGACGCCTTTCTATCTCCCCCGATCGATCGCTCACTTGGAACCCTCTCATGATGGAGCTAATCCGAGCTGAGGGAAATCGAGGTTTGGGTAGGAGCACATGGCGGCGGAGAGGGGGAAGGGTGATAGATAGCGTTGTCCCCCCCCCCCCCCCCCCCCCCCCGGGTCGCTGGAATCAGTTTGCAGGATTTTATCTCTTTCCTCTTACCGATGGCGACGACCTTGGTCAGTCACCGTCGAAGTCGCCTTCGGCCATGGTTGCCTCAACTCAGTGCAGGCATATGATCGATTTTGCCAACTTAGTTTGGTTGCAAGTCAGCGATAGTTTTAGTCCTTTTCCCAAGTTAACACAAGTTGGTGACAGAGTTTTAGCCTATTTGCAAGTTAGCATCAGGTGTGCTTGCATTTCTGAATGAACCAGTGATATATTTGATAGAATTATGTAATTTGTGTTTTATTTGGTTGGCCTTGGCCCTATGCAGTTAACGTTTTCTCCCATGCGAATTTGCCACGTATTTGGTTGGCTGGCAGGATGTCCAACGTGACTGTATGTGTGCGATTCAGACCACTGAGCCACAAAGAGAGGAAGACTAATGGTGACAAGGTCTGCTTCAAGAGATTGGATTCAGAATCTTTTGTTTTCAAGGTTTGGATACTCTTTTTCTTCTGCCATTATTGTTTCACAGATAAGGCAGGTATACTGAATATGTAAATGACCAGATGCCTTTTCTGTGAGATGTGCAATTTGGTTCTAGAATAGGACTCTTACTCAAGATTACTGGATTTGTTTAATGTTCTCATATCCATGAGCCATTAACCTTCTTGAGCATGTCACATAGCTGGCCCTGTGTGCAAGGATGGAATGGATAGTTAATAAAGAGAGGAGCATTCTTATGTTTATTTAGTTATAGATGCATTCTCCATGCTAAATCCCTGTGATATTGTTGGCAAGCCTTTTGTGTTTGCTCATGTTTTGTTGTTTCTGCAAATAATTTTGAGTTAGGATGAGAGGGAAGAAGATGTCATATTCAGCTTTGACAGGGTGTTTTATGAAGATGCAGAACAGTCTGATGTCTATAACTTCCTTGCAGTGCCAATTGTCGCAGGTTTCTTTCTGCCTATTCATCAAGATAGTCAAGGCATCTGCTTATTGCAATAGTCTCTAGTTTTGTCTTGACTGAATTCTCTTATAGTCATGAGGTGCCATGCTTTGTACCAACTGTCTAAATTGCTTGGACGCAGATGCCATCAGTGGAATAAATGGGACTATAATTACTTATGGTCAGGTATGTATTGCTGCAAAGTGCAAACGCCTTGTTCCCTAACTAGACAGTTGTACACAAATGTTTGATGCACAGCTTGCATAAGTAACTTGCTTATTTTGTTGCTACTACATTACCATCCTCAACCCTAAAATTTACACTGAACAGTCACCATTTGCAGTGCACCTAATACGCTGTTACTATGTCTGACATGAGCTACCCATGTCAACACTGACATTTTATTTAACTTTTCCTATGTGAAGACTGGAGCAGGAAAGACATACAGCATGGAGGTAAAGTGTACATTGCTGGGATTAATTTAAGGGATGATGACTGACTGCATCACTTCAGCTTTGACTTGTGTTTTTGTTTAATTTGGATGTTGGCACAGGGGCCGAGCATCTTGCATTGCAATAAGCAGAAAACTGGACTAGTCCAGAGAGTTGTAGATGAGCTTTTTCAATCTCTACAATCATCAGAAAGCATGGCTATGTGGAGTGTGAAATTGTCGATGGTAAAAATTCCAGCCTCATGTTCTGAATTTGAACCCACATCACTAAATCTTTACTCACATTGATATACCACTTCTCAGGTGGAGATATATTTGGAAAAAGTAAGGTCAGTGTTGTTGAGAATATTTTCTTATGCTTCCGCTGTACAGATTCATATGTTGGAAATAGAGTATCAAACTTTATTTTGTCATACCTCAGGGATCTTCTTGACTTGTCCAAGGACAACCTACAAATCAAAGAGAGTAAAACTCAAGGGATCTACATTTCTGGAGCAACAGAAGTAAGAGAGAAGTGCTTAAATTGTGTCCTTACGTTTTGTTTTTCATTTGATATTCTGAAACAAGTATATAATTCCATTTTATTTTTCCTTGATGGCTTGTGACATTTCATCATCTCTGTAGGTATCCATCCAGAATAGTTCAGATGCCTTGGAGTGCCTTTCTGTAAGTTCCTTGTGTTTTTCTTGGAATGCCTCTCTGTGATTAGATACCAATTAGTTTTTGTTTGTTTCTTTAAATTACAGGAAGGAATTGCCAACAGAGCTGTTGGAGAAACACGTATCCTCTATTTACTATTTTACTGCTTCTAGAACAGCTGTAAATATTAACACTATGCATTTTATCGTCCTTAATGTACATAGAAATGAACCTGGCTAGTAGTAGAAGTCACTGCTTATACATTTTTTCAGTTCAACAAGGATCAACTTCTGATGAGAGGTATGCTTAATGAATCATAAACATCAGCAATCAGTAGTTCAGTGCAACATTGCTTCCCGTATGTGGATAGGTGTTCCTTATTCCCTTTTTCATATTGGTTGCAACTAATTATATATAACCTTAAATTTGGTGATGCCCATTCCTTTGTGCTATAGACTGATTTAGTGATTTGATATCCAAATGCTGGATTTCTTTTGGCTCAAATTGTTAAAATCTGGTTATTCAAGGAAAATTGCAGTTACCTGTATTTTAAGTAAACTGCCATCCTGAATAAATGATGCTAGTCTGAGCAGGACGTGTTTCTTTTTCTCTAAATAAAACTTTCAGGGTGAGAGGAGGGAAGATTATTCTTGTTGATTTAGCTGGTTCAGAGAAGGTTGAGAAAACTGGTGCTGAAGGACGAGTTCTTGATGAGGCAAAGACAATCAACAAATCTCTCTCAGTTCTCGGGAATGTTGTCAATGCTCTAACAACTGGTATAGACTTTTCTGGAGAGAATAAACATCAACAGAAGGTCACCCTCACGATTTATGCCTTGCTATATTTACTTGTCTTATCTTTTCATCTTCAGGTAAACCGAATCATGTGCCTTATCGTGACTCTAAGCTTACGCGCATTCTTCAAGATGCACTGGTTGGTGAAAAGATTTTCTCAGGAGTTTCTGAATCGTCGGGTTTGTCTAAATGCCACTGGTTTTTGCAGGGTGGCAACTCAAGAGCGGCATTACTGTGCTGTTGTTCCCCCAGTGCTTCAAATGCACCAGAAAGTTTGTCTACTGTTCGTTTCGGAACAAGGCATATCTCTTGAACAATGCATGCTGGAGTATTACATTTCTACCTCTGCATATTGTCCTGATTCTATGGCAGCATCTGTCCAGGACAAAGCTCATAAAGACCACACCCAAATCAATCTCTCCCGAAGTGGATAGCATCAAGAAGCCCATCCCTGATTCTCATGGCCAAAATGATCTGCGTGACCGGATTCTGAACAAGGTTTGTATAGCAACTAACCAGAGATGGCCAATTCAGGTCCAATTTTTGATCACTTGATACCTCACTGAAGATCAATCATTTTTCCTCAGTTAAGGTTGAGCCTGAAGGAGGAAGATGTGGACCTTCTGGAGGAACTGTTCGTGCAGGAAGGCATCATCTTCGACCCCAACTACTCCGTGGCAGACATCGACTCAGCCTGCCAAGACGCCGCGAGCCAGGAGGTCTCACTGCTCACACAAGCTGTGGAGGAACTGAAAGAAACCGTCGAAGAGGTAGTAGTAGCATCAAGCCTCCATAGTCCATATACTCCCTCCCAGTTTCATTGTTCAGGCAGTAACTGTAGCAAACATGTTTTGCAGCTCACCGATGAGAACGAGAGGTTGAGGGGTGAACTCGAGCTCGCGCAGGAGGCTGCCGCCGCCGCCGCTGCTGCTCGGGCTGACGGCGCGCTGCTTGGTTTCGTGCCGGCGGTCGCCATCAGCTCCCTCCTCCGCCCCTTTGGGTTCGTTCCAGACTGAAGACGAGATACAAGGTCACACATAATACATTTTGCTGCCATTTCTGACGTGAGATACAGTGACGGTAGGAACTAGGAAGAAATGCTAATGTCATCGATCGAACTTCTCACTTGCCTTTATCGCTGTGATAGTACACAGAAGGAACATTGACATCGAGCTGGAAGTTTTGTCATTTCGAGAATACGCGTGTTTGAGTGGCTAATGTCACCGATCGAACTTCTCACTTGCCTTCATCGTTGTTATAGTACACAGAAAGAACATTGACATCGATCTAAAAGTTGTCATTACGATAATACGCGTGTTTGAGTTTCAACTTAAAAATTACCGTATTGAAATGCACCCTAATCGTTTGTTTGCTTTGCTTATGTTGTGTTTCCTTGAAGCCTCGATTACTTCGACATTTCCAAAACTTGTAACAGTGTTGATTTTTTTTTCAATGGCGTTTGACTATTTATACTGTTTAAAAATATATAATTAGTATTATTTATTTTATCGTTACTTCTTTAATTATCAAAGAAACTTAAAGTATGACTTATAAGCATTGTACACTAAATTTTTAAATAAAATGGATGATCAAGTCAATTGCATTATCTATTATAAAAAGTAGACAATATGTTATTTCCTTGGCGAAAAAGAGAAATAAAACTTTTCCACAACTTGTAGTGAGCAGTGTAGCATGGAATCATTTAACTCATTCACAAGCATTAATCTGTTTCATATTATAAAACGATTTGGTTTAGAATAAATTTCTGCATTGATCCATGTGTAGGAGTATGTGTCTAAATTCACTTGAAAAATTTGTGAGGGATGGAGATGCTAAAACATGTTATAATTGGAACGGATGGAGTATTTTGTTGAGTAAATTTCACAAAACTATATATACTTTGGTCAAATTATCACAAAACTACATATTTAAGGTAATGTATCATAAAACTATAGATTTAACACTAAATTTATCACAAAACTACAAATTTAAGGTATAGTATTACAAAACTATAGATTTAGTAGCAAAATAATAATAAAACTACAAGTTTAGTGTTAATTTAATCATAAAACTTAGATGTTTATAACTCAAACATAACACACTAGTACTAAAGATTTAAACTCTAAAATATGTAGTTTTGTGATAACTTTGTTACTAAATCTATAGTTTTACGATACTTCACCTTAAGTATGTAGTTCTATGATAAATTTAGTGTAAAATGTGTAGTTTTGTGAAACGTCACCTTAAATCTGTAGTTTTGTGATAATTTAAATAAAGTATATGTAGTTTTATGAAATTTACTCAATTTTGTGTGGTGAAGTTGTCGACGTGGCACACCATCGAGCCGCTCATCTCTCTCCCAAGCCAACACCCGAGAGTGGGTCGAGACAGGGAGCGTATCATCCTCTTCCTCCCGCCCCCGACCTCTCTTCCCTATCCACCCCATCCATGGCTGCCTCCTCCCACTACGCCCTCCTCCACCACCACCTCCCCAACCCTCTCCATCCCCGTCACCTCTCCTCCTCCTCCTCCCCTTCTCCTCCCCCTCCTCTCCACCTCCACCTCCACCTCCACCGCCACCGCCTCGCCCTCTCCACCGCCCGTTTCTTCCGCCTCGCGGAGCGGCGAGCCAGCGCGGGGCCACTGGTGTTCGAAACGGAGGAGGAGAGGAGTGGGTGGTCGGGTGCGGAGGCAGCGGAGTCGAACTACGACGATGAGGAGGATGAGGAGGAGGAGCAAGGGTGGGCGGGCGGCAATGCCGCGGGGTGGCGCGGGGAGAGCCACGAGGATGATCAGGAGGAGGGTTCCGGTTCCGGGGAGGGGCGGAGGCCGCGGCGGTCGCGGCCGCGCGAGCTGTTCGTATGCAATCTTCCCCGCCGCTGCGACGTCGACGACCTCTACGAGCTCTTCAAGCCCTACGGCACCGTCCTCTCCGTTGAGGTATACGCATATCATTCATTTCTTTCTTTCTTTGCCTCATTGCTACTGCAATTCCAACACCTGGTGGTAAATCTGGTGATATACTATGTTACTGCTACTGCTAAGAAAGTAAGAATCACCGACCAGCTCAACCCAAAATTTTACTGACCAATTGAATGGGGTGGACACTGTCAACAAGTGAATTGGGGAGCTCATCATATATCCAATGCAAACGGTGACTAAGGCTGTGTTTTTCTCCCAGTTTTCCCAACTCACCTCACTCATTTTCAGCGTGCACGCTTTTCAAACTGCTAAACGGTGTGTTTTTTGCAAAAAGAATCTATATGAAAGTTATTTTAATAAAATCGTATTAATCCATTTTTCAAAAAAAAAAGTTAATACTTAACTAATGATGCAATAATAACGTGCTTCGTTTTACGTGCCGGGGACCCCTCCTCCCGAACGCAGCCTAAGACTCCCCTTTAAGTTTTGAATGATTGTCAAGTTGTTGAGTAGGCCTGGAGGCACAAACTGCAAGTTAGTTCTTTGATGTTTCAGACTTATATGATCTCTTTGCAAAACACCTGCTCTTGCATTTTGATGCTAAATATATGTATTTACTAGAGAACTATAAGATTAATACATCAAGCAAAGTTTGGAACTTATATTAGATGCTACTACTTGCTTGGAATGGATGAATGACCCCTACTTGATTCCACTTAGCTAGCATGTTTAAATTCTTCAATTCCCATATCACACCGGTTTGCATATCATGATGTTAGAAAGCGCTTCAGATTGATTTTAGAGGTGCGCTGTGATGTTCATATCTGATGACAACCCGCAGATTTCCCGTGACCCTGAGACTGGACTTAGCCGAGGATGTGGTTTCGTCACAATGCGTTCTCTCCCAGAAGCTCGGACAGCCATGAACGCTCTCGATGGATTTGTGAGTCACACAAGAGCCCTGCAGTTTCCCCTTCTCACACTGTATTTATCTGCTTGATTTACAAGTGACATCTAACCTTCTCTTGCATTCATCTCTCTTCTAGGACCTGGATGGGCGTGAAATGCTTGTAAAACTATCATCCGACGTTGTTTCTAAAAGGAGAAACATCAACATGACTCATACGCCACCTGTGAAAGACCACATCTTCGAGAGCCCACACAAGATCTACGTTGGCAACATCGCGTGGTCTGTTGAGCCACAAGAATTGCGAGAGTACTTCTCTCAGTGCGGAACCGTCGTCAGTACAAGGCTGCTGACAGATCGCAAAGGAGGGAGAGGCCGTGTCTATGGATTCCTCTCATTTGCTTCAGCTGAAGAGCTTGAGGCTGCATTGAAGCTTGACAATACGGTATAATGCTAGCCATTTTCCTTACTTTTCTGAGTCACTGCATTTGCTTGATGCTAGAACAGAACTCATAAATTCCTCCTTGGATCTCTGTTCCCAAGAAACTTCATATCTGGATTTGCTTCGGAAGCTGCTAATGGGGTAGTTTTGTGTTAGAAAATCTGAAATGAGGATTATGGGTGTACATTTGTATTTCTAAGTTTCTGCTTGAGTAGAACTTTGCCAGTTAACTGTAGCTTATGAGGCTTAAGCAATCCTGGTTCACATTTTCTCCAGATTATTTTCTGAGCATGTACCTCTCATTTGCCATGGCTTACGCTGATTATTGTTTTTGCAACAGCATTTTCATGGACGGAACATCCTCGTCAGGCAAGCTCATGAAGAGCGTCAGGCACACTGAACCGTCCAGGGATTATTGGAGACCTATTGCAATTTTGTCTAGCTTATTTGCTGATTGAGTTCGTCCTTGGGCGCAATGCTGCACATCAAGACTAACATGTGTTTTTTTTTTTGGTATGTATTGAGTATTCTGTATTCTAGTGACTTGAGTACAATGCGAATGGGTACTAGCAATCTTTCCACTATATACTCTAGTCTGATGAAATGATTCTGAGGAACAAACAGCTTGTTTTTGTTCTAGTCAGAATCATTTCACTGAGTACAGGCAGAATCATAATATGGCATCTAAATTTAGAAAAATAGCGCCTCAAGTTTGGTTTTAACGATTTAAACAACTTACTCAAACCTGATGCTGAAAATAGTATCACTCTCCTTAAAATCAACGCAAATCACACAGGACAGACCACAGCAAACAATTTAGAGTACAGAATGATTATAATAAACAAAATCTCGATGCACATTACTAGAAGTTTAACGTTCAGAATATTGAATGCATAAGGGTTTTATGGCATTCTCCAGACAAAGGAAAATTAGCAGCTCCTGCTTGTCTCAAGACTCATAATGCGCTACATAAATAAAATCCATTCCTAGAACAAGCTAAGCTTGAAGCAGCAAGGAGCACAGCAGAAGCAGAGCTCTCTCTCTAGGCCACCAGAGTGCTGGCTGTGGTCGACTCACTGCAGAAAACAAGGAATTTGTCAGCCACATATAAATATTACACTATGACTGAATCAAAATTGTTAATATAACAAAACAAACACAATCATTCAGGCATTCGGCATTAACACCTACCAGCGTGTATATACGGAAAAAAAAACTACTAAATCAGCAAGAGTAGAATGCATGTATATCTATATGTAAGTTGAACAAGTCATTAGACTGCGAGCATCAGCATACTCACCCATAAGCAAAGAAACATAACTACAAAGAAAATGTTGAGCTTAAGAAAACAAAGCATACTATGACAATACCACCAACACAAGTGCAGCTACAAAGCACTTTTAATTAAGCATATTCTCATCTTCATTGAATTTTGTAATATTGTTTAGAGTACCCAAAAATAAAAGCAACACAATCTCAGCCTTTTGCAACTATAGAATTAGTGTTCTTGATTACTGTTATCTCCTAGCACATAAGAAATATCATTCTTGATAGGAGTCATACCGTCCTAACAAATTTGAAACAATAAGGAACATCAAATTTCAGAAGACAGTTTTTTCATAAAATATCTGCGTATTTGACAGGCATAATGGATGCTAGCCTTTTCATGACATATTAATGTATGAATGCCAAAGTCAAAATCTAATTATCAGTAAAATATAACTAACTGATAGAATCAGATCGCTTAGCTAGCTTAAAGACCTAACCCAGTAGTAGGAGTTCAGAACGAGTAGCAGTAAAATCACATCATTTTCTGTACATATCAATATGTTCCTCTTCCTCCAAAACATGTCAAACAACAGTATTATGTACAAACCAATATCTTCCAGTAAAATTCTTATGTATCAAACAATACGCAGTGTTCATAATATTTTCTGTAGAAAAACATGATCAAAATTCTCAAACAGGCTCCAAATGGGCTAAACATGTACAAACAAGCCTGCAGCAGAACATCGTCTACAATACAATTCCTTAAGGAGCTTGAAAGTAGTTCAAACATACAGCACTGAGCTGGTATGTAGTTCTACTAAACAAAAAATCACAATTCACAATTGTTGGGTTCTTATTAGCAGTTGAAATAAATATGATAAATCGCTGAATGCACAGAACTGCTACAAGCTGAACCTAACTAAGAACAGCACACTAGTAAAGTTATATGTGACTAACAATTAAACAACTAACAAACAATACAAACAAGTGGGCGAGGTGTAACTTACTACTTCCAGGTGGGCGGGAGCTTCTTGGTGCGCTTGTAGTAGCGAGCGAGGCGGTGGATCCTGCTCTCAACAAGGATGAGCCTAAACTTGGAGTCCTTGTCCTTCCTGTTCCTCTCCAAATGCTTCCTAATAGCAACAGCCTTCTTGATCAGGAAGTACAGGTCCTCCGGGATCTCCGGCGCAAGACCTACACACCATCACACACAGACATATCTCCACATTAACACACACAAGGCGTCGAGCGATGGTAATTGAGTGTGAGAATTGGGGGTAAATCTCATTCTCACCATGGGCCTTGAGGATGCGGAGGATCTTGCTGCCGGTGACGCTCTTGACGAGGGGGATTCCGTGCTGGTCACGGAGCACCACGCCGATCTGCGACGGCATCTGGCCCTTCTTCGCGGCCTTCATGATCATCTCCTCCACCTACCAAGAACCGACGCGCACAAACCGTATCAAAATCACCGTGAAAAGGGAATGGAAAAAAACCAAATCGAATCAAAGAATCCAGGAGATGAGGAGGCCCTCACATCGGCGGCGGCGGTCTTGACCCAGCTTGGGGGAGTCCTCTTGTACGGAATCGCCGACGACGAGATGCCCTTCCTGCGCCCACACACCGTCGAGTAGCCGCCATTAGAACAGAGATTTCACCAGACCAAGAATACTATAGTAAAGGGGGATGAGGAAGAAGAGGAAAGGATACCCGCGGCTGTGCATACGCCCCATGGTGGCAGTGGGGAATTTGGCGACGGCGACCGGCGACGGCGGTTGGCGACTGCGCGGCGGAGGAGGCGGCGGCGGCGGGAAGAGCGAGTAGTGAGCGGGGTGGCGGCGCGAGAGAGAAGGGGTAAGGCTAGGGTTTGGGGTGGCTACTTATGTGAGTGTATTTACAATTCAGTCCTCCCGAAAGTGTATTTTTAGATCCAAATCCACCTTATTTTGTGTACGAGTGAATTGCACTCTGGGCCATGTTTTATTACCAAAGTTTCACTTTTGACCACCCTATACGTAATCTTTTCGCTTTGGACTAGGTAACTTTGCCTTTGTTGCACAATGGACTACCCAAACTCTTTTCGCTTGTGATGTCTAGCGTCTCTTTCGACAAAAGTATGTCATGCATATAGGTATGAAAGTTTGCTGACATGCCATTAACAATTTGCTCGAAGTCATTGAAGAAATGAAAATGTGTTTTGGGGTGGTCCATTGTGCAACAAAGGTAAAGTTACCTAGTCCAAAGTGAAAAGATTAGATAAAGGGTGGTACAAAGTGAAACTTTGGCAATAAAACATGGCTCAAAGTGAAATTATCTCTTTGTGTATATCAGCATCACATCTTTGGAGACCAAAAATGCCAGCTTATTAGTAATAGGTGGGCCAAATTTTTAAACAAAAATCTAACCCTGCACAATTAAATAAGGGAAAATTGGAACCATACCCATTAAATAAAGTTAACCATTTTAGAGACTAAATCAATTGAGATATAAAACGCCAATACTGTACAAAGTCACGGATTGTGATCCAATGCGAAGAATCAATTTCCAACTAGAAACTTTGAAATATGTCTAGATAGATTTTTAATCGATTAGAACAACATCTATCTATTATATTATTAAAACAGCCTTGAAAGGAGACACCACGTTCGCTGTAAGGGCAAGAAATTCTCACATTAATCAGAGAAAAAGAAAAGGACAGTCCAAATAGAAATACAGTTTAAAAATAGCTGAAATTCGGAATTAAAAAAAAAGCAATATGGAAAGAAGAGTCCGTATAAGAACATAATACGAGATTAATCAAAATATAGAATAAAAATAAAATAAAATCTGAAATTAGAAAAGAAAAGGAGATTTAAAATAACTGAAATTCGGAATTAAAAATAAGGAATATTGAGAGAAGAGTCCATATAAGAACCTAATATGAGATTAATTAATATTCGAAATAAAAATAAAAATAAAATCTAAAATTAGCAAAAAGAAAAGAAGAGTTCAACTAGAAATACAATTTAAAATTAACTAAACTTCGGAATTAAAAATAAGCAATATTGAAAGAAGAATCCATATAAGAACCCAATACAAGATTAATTAAAATTCAGAATAAAAAATAAATAATATCCAAAATTCAAAAATTAAAAGAGAGTTCAAGTAGGAATACAATTTTGAAACACATGAAATTCAAAAATAAAAATATTAAAAATATTAAAATAAAAAGATTTTTAAAAAATAAATTCTGAAATTATAAAAAGAAAAAAAGATTTTAATTAGGAATACAATTTATAAATAACTAAAATTGGTGATAAAAAATAAAGACTATTGAAAGAAAAGACTATCTAAAACACATGACGAGATAAATTAAGTAACAAGCCTATAAAGGAGTAGAGTGGTAGCGGTTGATACTACATATAAAAATTGTTAATAAAACACCAAATAGAATCATAATGACGATTAAAAGGAGGAACGTCAGGCAGGCCGTGAAGCAAACGAGCAAGGCAATTGCCGAGACTTCTAGAAAGTCAAAAAATAAATCTCATTTATAATCATATTCGATTTTTAAAATCTCAATAATAATAAAAAGGAGAAGCAGCGGGCGAGGTGTATAAGAGTATAGTTGCAGAGCTGCCGATGGTTGGCGGGACCTCTAGAAAATAAAAAAATGAATTCCAACGATAGTTATGTTCGATTTTTAGAATCCAATGACAATAAAGAGTGGGCGGCGTATGGGCCGTAAAGGAGTATACTGGCATCATATGACGGGACTTCTAAAAGTTACAAAAAATGAAACCCAACAAGACAATAAACTCTAAAAACTACAAGGTCCAATTAAGGTTCAGAACTTCTAAAAAGTAAAAAAAAAACCTAATGATAATCATGTTCAATTTTAAAATCTCAATGACAATAAAGAATGGAGACAATGGGCGAGCCATAAAGGAGTACAATGGCAAAGCCGCTGACGGTTTGGTGGGACTTTTAGAAAGTAAAAAATGAACCCAAATGATAATTATGTTCGATTTTTAAAATCCCAATGACAATAAAGAGAAAAGACAGTGGACGGGCCGTAGAGAAGTATAATGGCAGCCTTTGACGGGACTTCTAGAAATTATAAAAATGAAACCCAGCGAGACAATAACCTCTAAAAACTAAGATCTAATTTTTAAAGGTTTCAAAGAGAATGAATAAAAATAGTGGTAGATCGAGCAAGCAAATAAAGAAGAATATGATAGAAGTAAAGGGTAGCAGCTGGTGCGACTTTTAAAAATTATATAATTAGAAATAAGTGGTTGATAATGTTTGGTTTTTCAAAGTCTTAAGACAATGA